CCACGTCTCCCTTTAGATCACTTCACCGAGCAAGGTGAGAATAGCAAGCTTGAGCTTCAACCTGAAATGGTGGGGCCCCCCGAAGGGGTCAGTACAAGTACCGAGCGAGTAGCAGGCTAAATGTAGAATAACTAACGTTTCAAGTATAAGACCCAAACATAGGGTGATACATATACATATAGTTCTTTCCCCCAAGTTATGAAACATATATCATTATATATACACTTGGAAATACCCGACCCGTAGGTCATTGTTTATTTGGGAAATAATATAGCCGGTAACCTTGGCTTAAACCCCAACCCACCCATATACCTATGAGTGTATAGAACTCCTCCTGGTTCAAATCATCTTAACTTGAGGACACCGCCCGGTCCTAAATTACAAATAGTAATCTATGAGTTTTGAGGATACACGCCCGATCCTTGGGTACTCCACCCTATATAACCGAGTTTTGAGGATAACCGCCCGATCCTTGGGTACTCCACCCTATAACCGAGTTTTGAGGATACACGCCCGATCCTTGGGTACTCCACCCTATAACCGAGTTTTGAGGATACCGCCCGATCCTTGGGTACTCCACCCTATAACCGAGTTTTGAGGATACCGCCCGATCCTTGGGTACTCCACCCGACTTATGATCTACCACATATCATCCTAGATAAGGTCTATATCATAATCAATAATCAAGACTAAACCAAGTCTTAAGGCCTAAGCATAACCATCCATGCAATTCATGCATTAAAAATCAACATATAGGCAAAACAGTGCCAAACCGGCGCCGGTTTTGACATAACCGGCGCCGGTTATTAATTAATTTAATAAAACCGGCCATGCCGATCCATAACCGGCGCCGGTTTTGCCTATAACCGGCGCCGGTTGCCCCCTGGGCAACCAAGTCAACATTTTCGTTGACTCGCCATTTCAAACCCGATTTGCGTCAAACTTAATCCCAACATGTATTAAGTTATAACCAAGCATTTTATGCCCCTTTTATCCCTTAATACATCATATATGTTTTTATAAACATTTTCATATCATACTTCATTTATGATATCAATGGGTCATACATATAAATCTAATCACTTTGGATAATCACATGTTTAGGCATCTTTTAAACATCATTATGAACACATATAACATTTACTTAGGTAATCTCATAATTAACCCAAGAGTTATAAGACATTAAGCCGTCCACTCACCTCGAATGAGCGTGATGAAGTTCTACCCTTCTCGGTTGAACTCCGGCCAAACTCCGGTGAACTTTGACGAACTCCGGCGATAACTCCGGTGACTCTTAAACTTCGTGGTGGCTCTTAAATCACCCTTGTCAAGTGCCTAACAAGGTTTTATCATCACAAAACCCAAATTAATACAAATAACCTCTAAAAGGTTATTTTCCGGCTAACCGGTCGTTTTGGCTCCTAAGTCCGTTCTTGGACATAGAATCACTTCTCAACCCTTATTTCTACATTTATAAATATGTAGAGCTATTAAAAGGGTTCCTTACATGCTATGTAAGTCATATGAGCATCAAATGGAAGGAGAAAAGTTGTTATAAGGTCATTACCTTAATCTTTCACCCTTTTCTTCACCTTCCTTCACTCCAAGCACCTCTTTTGCTTCTCTTCTTGCTTGAGCTCGATTTTGGGGATGATGGTGGGTGTTTTGCAGCTCACTCTCTCCCTCTTGGTGTGTCTTGGCCGAAGTGATCACATGGGGTGAGAGGAAGTTGCCTCTTTTGACTTATTCTACAATAAGGGTGAGGGAATAGGCCCTCCCATGTCTCCTCTTGATGCCTATCAACTCACACCCCCCTCCTACTAACTTCCCATCCTCATTCATAGAATCCCCTTGATAATTTGTGGTCTAATTTCGTGGGTTGGCCCCCACTCATGTGGGAGGTCAACCCTTTTTGTCCAAAAGTGTACAATCGGTCCCGAAAGTTGTATTTCTCGGACTGTTTAAACTATACTTTATTTTATCGGGTCAAATAAAATATAACACTTGCTTCCCCTCATAATGGGCCTTTAGGATGATTATACATTCTCCAACTTTAATTTGGAAGTCCCCGAAATTCATCTCAGACTGTTACCCGATAAATTACCCAAAACCGGTAATTGGGCCTTGTTTGACCAACCGGTCAACCCAACACCTTTCTTATGGCCCAAAGTGAATGTCCACCACCATATAACTATTATCTATACCAAGATGAATAAAACATGCGGTCTCGGGAATATTGGGTGGTCCCCGCTCCCGGTGTGGGCCCCACGTGCAATTTACTATTCATGCAAAAGAATTAACAAAAATTTACAACCTCGTAAATTCATTAACCATTTCATAAGGTTCAATACATAATTTACACAAAAGTAAATATACTTGGGGACGGTGTTACATGGCATATGCTGAAGAATGAGCCTCCTCAAGTATAGCCCTCTGGAGCTCCTCATTCCTTGGTATGCACACACGATCCTTAAATAATAAAAGACCGTCATCACGTACCCGAAAATTCTCGACGGGCCCCTCAAGGATCCGTTCGCGGATCTTCTGACATTCCTCATCAATGGCCTGACATCTACTGATCTCACTCAGCAATGTAGGCCTCACCTCGAATCTAGCAATGAGCGCCCCGCTCGTGGATACCTCCACGCGTGCCCTCAATGCCTGTAGACATGTGAGTAGCATCCCCGACGTACTCTTTCTGCTCAGTGTGTCGGCCACTACATTGGCCTTTCCGGGATGATAGTCGATGATCAAGTCATAGTCCTTGATCAACTCCATCCATCTCCTCTGCCTCATATTCAACTCTTTCTGAGTGAATACATACTTCAAGCTCTTATGATCAGTATAAATGTGACACGTCTCCCCGTAGAGATAATGCCTCCAAATCTTCAATGCAAACACTACCGCCCCCAACTCTAGATCGTGAGTAGGGTAGTTCACCTCGTGTTTCCTCAATTGCCTAGAAGCATAGGCAATCACCTTACCGTTTTGCATTAGTACACATCCAAGCCCTTGGATGCTAGCATCGCTGTAGATGTCATACCCTATCCCTTGTATGGGTAGGGCAAGGACAGGTGCCTCGGTAAGTCGTTTCTTCAATTCAAGGAACCCCTTCTCGCACTTGTCGTCCCATATGAACTTGGCCCCCTTCTTTGTGAGCTTCGTTAATGGAGACGCCAATACGGAGAATTTTTCAACAAATTTACGATAGTATCCCGCTAAGCCAAGGAAACTACGTATTTCCTTCGCATTCCTGGGTCTCTCCCAATCCATGATCGCTTTTATCTTGGTGTTATCCACAGCAACACCTGAACCGAATATGACATGACCGAGGAAACCAATCTCTTTGAGCCAAAATTCGCATTAGAGAATTTGGCGAAGAGTTGCTTTTCCCTTAGCCGATCAAGTACAAGCCTCAAATGATGTTCGTGCTCTTCCTCGCTCTTGGAGTATATCAAGATGTCATCAATGAATACTATCACAAATTGATCTAAGTATTCACTAAACACACGATTCATCAAGTCCATGAATGCCGCCGGTGCGTTAGTTAAACCAAACGACATCACAAGGAACTCGTAATGACCATATCTAGTGCGAAATGCACTCTTAGGTATGTCGCTCTCCTTGATCTTCAACTGATGATACCCCGACCTCAAGTCAATCTTCGAGAACACTTTTGCCCCTCGAAGTTGATCGAACAAGTCATCAATCCTCGGTAAGGGATACCTGTTCTTGATGGTGACCTTGTTCAATTGTCGGTAGTCGATACACATTCTTAGTGTACCATCTTTCTTCTTCACGAAGAGTACGGGTGCTCCCCACGGTGAATGACTGGGTCTGATGAACCCGTTGTCCAATAGTTCTTGTAGTTGGACCTTCAACTCTTGAAGTTCGGCCGGTGCCATTCGATAAGGAGGAATCGAAATGGGTTTGGTTCCCGGCTCCACTTCGATTACAAATTCAATCTCTCTATCGGGTGGAAGCCCCGGTAGGTCCTTGGGAAAGACGTCCGGGTACTTGCACACGACTCGAACATCCTTGATGTCGACTTCTTTCTTCGTATCATCTACCACGTAAGCAAGGTATGCGTGGCATCCCTTCCTCATCATCTTTCGTGCTCTCATCACGGATATGATACAAGCATTAGACTTCCCCCGATCTCCTTCAAAACGTAGCATATTCCCTTGACCATCCTCAAGCTCCAACACCTTGGTGTAGCAATCTACTCGAGCATGGTGCTTCTCAAGCCAATCCATTCCTAGGATTGCATCGAACTCCAACATGCTTAGAGGTACGAAATCACAAGTCAAGGGTTGACCCGTCACTTCCACCTCACACGATGGATAGTAATAATTTCTCTCCACATCGTCTCCTAACGGTGTGGAGACTAGCAACGTTTGCGTCATAGGTGTCAATGGCACGTCAAGGCCCTCGGCGAACGCCTCACTCACAAATGAGCGTTGTGCCCCGGTATCGATGAGGATCCTCGCACACCTACCATTGATCTTTAATGTTCCTACATTTATACACCATGTAAGATACATTTTCTAGTGTTTTTACACACCTTTAGGAGGTTATTAGGTTCATACTAATGTTTGGAATCAAACGGGGGTCCAAACGTAGAAGAACGGGGCGAAAAAATAAAGTTTCAGGTGCCAGGGGTCCACGCACGGCGTGCGTAGGGGGTACGCACGGTCGTGCGTACCTTGTCATACCAATGGAGGCTACTGCCCCCAACGCACGGAGGGACGCACGGGCAACGCACGGCCGGGCGTGCAGCGAATTTCCTCCGGGGTGCTACTGCCACCAACGCACGGAGGTACGCACGGGCAACGCACGGCCGTGCGTGCAGCGCAGCCTGTAGTGCGTTGGCAGAAATCAACCCGATTTCGCCCAATTTCGCCCAATTTCGCTCCGTTTGATCCCGGGGTGGCCCGAACTCAACCCCCAACGGTGTATATGATCAAAATAAGCCTAGAAATACCTGGGAATACGTGTATTACCTGCAACGGAGTCCGGGTTTGCTCACGCATCCGCCTCGGCCATTGCGTAGACCCTTGCTTGGGCCCCGCCTTGATTGACGGACGTAGCGTTGCTCGTCGTTGGTCCCGTATGGTTTCCTTCCACGGTGAGCCCTTCATCGGCTTGCGATGTTTCTCGTTGTCTCCTCCATGGGCAGCTTAATTTCATATGGGTTGTGCTCCCACATTCGTGGCACATCGGGGGCTCGTTGCATTTTCCGAAATGTTTCTTAGAGCAATTCGAACATTTAGATGACCTTAAAGAGTAGGCAAAGGACACATGCCACTTTGAGTTCCTTTTCTTTTTCACCGGTGATGATGGTGCCGTAAAAGTGCTTTCTCCTCCTCGGTTGTTTGCCCAAGGATGGGTTTGACTGGCAGTCATATCACGTTGGGAGGTGGCCCGATCTCGCCTAGTCTGACGCCTACGTTCGTTCCTCCTGGTGCTCATGTTACAAATCGAGCCCACGCGACTAGCGCTTGCCGCTTGGCGGCCCTCGCGGCCCCCATGACCTATTCCTCTCCCCGTAAAGGCTCGTGACACAGCCCGGCTAGCCTCAAGGTAAGCTACCGACGCTTGTCCCTTAGGGTCATTCCTTGTCTCCATTCGCTTACCCTCCATTTCTGAAACGGAATTTGGGCGAGTCTTTAGACTCCTATGAATGTCAATTGACGGAAAAACGTTATAGACACGTATTGACCCAAGTCACCACCATACCAATTGTTAAGGGTACCGTCTTAACAATCAGAGGCCCTGCAACTTAAGCACCAATAGTCCCATAAACGTCAAAATACAATGCTCATGGTTTTCGGTAAAAACTCTTCTGTAAAATCTTTTGTGAGAGGTTGATTATATAGTTTAGAACTGAGATGGCTCTGATACCACTTAACTGTCACGCCCCAGACCGCAATCCAAGCGCGTGTACAACCGCCGTATAACTAAGTGATGTCACCCACGAGTCAACCTCACTTAGTTACACAAGGCGTTCGAGAAAACAATCCATCCATACTCAGTAGTAAACATACATAACAACATCACATTTAAACCAATGAATAGCGGAAATATTCAACGGTAAGTCATGAGCCACAACCGGCCAACAACATGGGCATGCAAGCCCCAAAAATAGTTTGTAGTAAAACAAATATCCATGAGCAAGTGTTTGGTAGTTTGAAAGAAAATAAGGAAGCACGAACCACGTCTTCCCGATATGATATCACCCGTGAGAAGGTGCAAGTAGCAAGCCCTAGCTTCAACCTGAAAATGGTGGGGCCCCCCGAAGGGGTCAGTACAAGTACCGAGCGAGTAGCAGGCTAAATATAGAATAACTAGCGTTTCAAGTATAAGACCCAAACATAGGGTGATACTTATATAAATAGTCTTTCCCCCAAGTTATGAAATACTTAATAGTATATATATACTTGGAAAAATATCCGATCCGTAGATCACCAGTTTATTTGGGAAAAATAGTAATAGTCAATATTCTTGACTAAAAACCCCAACCCACCCATATGCCTATGAGTGTATAGAACTCCTCCTTGTTCAAGTAAATTATCATAAGGACACCGCCCGGTCCTAGATCATTATATGTAATCTATGAGTTTTGAGGATACACACCCGATCCTTGGGTACTCCACCCTATATAACCGAGTTTTGAGGATAACCGCCCGATCCTTGGGTACTCCACCCTATATAACCGAGTTTTGAGGATAACCGCCCGATCCTTGGGTACTCCACCCTATATAACCGAGTTTTGAGGATAACCGCCCGATCCTTGGGTACTCCACCCTATATAACCGAGTTTTGAGGATAACCGCCCGATCCTTGGGTACTCCACCCTATATAACCGAGTTTTGAGGATAACCGCCCGATCCTTGGGTACTCCACCCTATATAACCGAGTTTTGAGGATAACCGCCCGATCCTTGGGTACTCCACCCTATATAACCGAGTTTTGAGGATAACCGCCCGATCCTTGGGTACTCCACCCTATATAACCGAGTTTTGAGGATAACCGCCCGATCCTTGGGTACTCCACCCTATATAACCGAGTTTTGAGGATAACCGCCCGATCCTTGGGTACTCCACCCGACCTATGACTTACCACATATCACACTAGATAGGGTCTATATCATATTTAATCATTCATAACTAATTCAATACATAAAACTTATGTATCACATTCCATGCAAAGCCATGCAATTATGTAAATGTATAATTAATTAATACCAATCGATATTAATTAATCCATTATCCATCGGTCAACGTTGTCGTTGACCGCCAATTCAAGCCTTGTACATATCAACTTAATCATCATATAATTAAGTTAATAATACTCATTTGTGCTTCTTTTACACTTCAAGCTAATATGCATTTTATATAACTCCTCATATATTATTTCGTGCATAAACAATAAATTCTTTTCATACAACTTAATAATGTTGGCTAATCACATGTTTAAATATCTTTTAAACATTATTATGAACACATATAACATTTATTTAGGTAATCTCATAATTAACCCAAAAGTTATAAGATATTAAGCCGTCCACTCACCTTGAACTAGCGTTAAGAAGTTCTACCCTTCTTGGTTGAGCTCCGGTGAAACTCCGGCGACTTGGTCAACTCCGGCGACAACTCCGGCGACTTTTTCCAACTTTGTGAAATCACTTGAAATACCCTTTACAAGTGCCTAACAAGGTTTTATAATCATAAAACCCATATTAATACAAATAACCTCAAAAAGGTTATTTTCCGGTGAACCGGTCGTTTTGGCTTCTAAGTCCGTTCTTGGACATAGAACCACTTCCCAACCCATAAATCCATACTTATAACATGTGGAACCATATTAAGGGTCCTTAATATGATATATACTTCATATGGTAGAAGAAAATTAAAGGAAGAGTTATAATAAGGTCATTACCTTAATAAATCACACTTTCCCCAACTTTTTCCTTCTTTTATCTTCCTCTTTGGACTCCCTTAGGTTGAGCTCGAATTTTCAGCTATGGGAATGGTTTGCAAAGCTCCTTCCTTCCTCCTTTTGCTTGGTTGGTCGAGCATGATAGATGAAAGAGGGTGGAGAGGTGAGTTTTGTCTCCTTTAGCCAATGAGTGGGTGGAAAGGGGTCCATTACCTTTCAACCATGTTCCTCCCATCCTATCATCCATCCTTCATGTGTCCTTATGGCACCAATTAGTCAACCCTTGCACACAAAAACGTGGGGTGGCCCCCACTCATGTGGGAGGTCATCCCTTTGTGTCCCGGTGTGTGCAATTTGTCCCGAAAGTTGTATTTTTCGGACTGTTTTAAACATGTTTTATTTTATCGGGCCAAATAAAATATATTGTGTGCTCTTACTCATTATGACATGTATAATGAATATGCATTCCCCAACTTTAATTTATAAGCCCCCGAAATCCGGTTCGGACTGCTATCCGTTAAATTGTCGGTACCGGTATTTGGGCTCCTTTTTGCCCAATCGGCCAACACAGGGCCTTTCCACGACCCAAGTAAAATATCCACCACCATATAAATATTATCTTGACCAAGATGAATAAAATATGCGGTCTCGGGAATGTTGGGTGGCCCCCGCTCCCGATGTGGGCCCCACGTGCAATTTACTATTCACGCGAAAGAAAATAACAAAAATTTACAACCTCGTAAATTCATTAATACTTTAATAAGGTTCAATACATTATTTACATAGAAGTAAATATATTTGGGGATGGTGTTACATGGAGAGGTTAGAGAGTTATCTTTCAACACTACCATCAACCAACAGATTTGGGACTCTAAACTTGAGCTCAAAATTAAGTTACTCCAGTGGAAAATTAGCAAAGGAATTATTCCTACTCCGGATAATCTAAGCAGGTTTCAGACGGTTTTAAACCCATCAAGGTGTCCTTTATGCAAATGTAATACTGATTCTATGAAGCATTTGTTTTATCAATGTTCAGTTGCTAAGGGCATTTGGCAATATTTCTTAAGCATCTTTGGGATATATCAGCCTCCAGGTATAGATTACAGCTTGATATGTTACTGGAAATCAAAGGGATGCAATTCCAGCTTGGATGATATTGTAAGACAAAATTTACATGGAATCATTTGTTGGATTATATGGAAGACCTATACTAATCAGATATGGGGAAATGGGGGTGAAAACCCTAAGTCAGCTAATATGATTCTTCAGGTGAAACTTTATACTCGGAACTGGATATCCAGTTTATCTACTACCAAGCTTCGAGATATTGGGCAGATTGTACAAGAGGAAGGTCTACTCCCATTTAATTTCAAACTCAGGGGTTTTACGCCACAAATCATTAGATGGGAAAAACCTACAAAGCTTTTGAAATTAAATGTGGATGCAAGTTACTTAGCTGAGGAGACGATGGCAGGAGCTGGAGCTATTATGCGGGATCGGAATGGTGTGCTTGTAGCGGCGGTGAGCTCTCCTGTGCAAGCTTCGTCTTCTTTAGAAGCTGAGATAAAGGCTATTATCTTTGCTATTGACTGGGCTGTGGATGAGGGATTTAGCGATTTCCATGTAGAATCGGATTCAAGCCTTGCGCTGGAGTATTTCGAAGGAAGGGAGGGACGAAGATGGTTCTCCTCGATTCAGGAAACCTTACAAAAGATTATCAGGAAACAAATTCATATGGGTCATACGAAACGGGAGGGTAACTGGGCTGCACACTATTTGGCCCAAAACCGGTGTGACAGGCTTAATATATTTTATCAGACGTGTCAGCTTCCGATTATGGTTAAACGAGCTTATTGGATGGATTTTTTTGGAATTCCTTCTTTTAGAATGTAATTTTCTATTGGGTTAGGTTTGGTCCCCCCAGTTTTTTGTATTCTTCCTCATTTAATAAAATTTCGGTAAATGACTCCCGGCATTTACCCCACTGATTTTGGTGGTTTGCCTTCCGGGTTAAAAAAAAAAGGTAAGGTAACAAAGGTCAACCTTCGGTCTCAGCAGGGACGCCAAAGCGGGGCCCGTCCAGCAAATCCAACTCGACATGAAGCTTCTCCAGGGTAGTCAGGGCTTCATCGGCCGAAGCGATCTTCTCCTCTAACTTCTTCAACCGAGCTATCTCGGCCATGTTGCTCCTTTAACATAAAAGCACCCTGGACGAAGAGCATGTAAGATCAGACAGGATAAGGAGGTATGAAAAGGAACAAAAATCTTTAAGTACAAAAAAAACTTACTTGGACGATGAAGTCCATCCCACCGTCATACAGGCGCACCTCTTTGCCCTGACGGCTCAGATACAGCCGATCCTCGTCGGGAGTGGCCTGGGAGAGAACGTCGTCCCAACTGACGCCTTCATTAAATAGGTCGCCCTTCATAGGGTAATGAACGGTGACCTCGGAGAGCCCTTTCCCCAGTTCCTTGCCAGGACGGGCCTTGGCCGAAGCGTCTATTGCATTCTTCGGAGGGGGCGGAGTAAGGGCAGCCGAAGGGGCCTCTTTGGTCAAATCTACCAACGATCAGCATCGTCGGCACCCCCAGCTTCACCCGCAGCCTGGACGATTAGGGATTTGGCCTCCTCATCCGTAGAAGACTTTTTCGTCTTCTTCGCCACCTTCGCCGGCTGTAGGTCGGCCTCGGTCATAGTCTTCTTCCCTTCATCGGCAGTCCTTTTCTTCTTCTTGAAGACAGTGGGCTTCTTAACGGCCTCAGCATTGCCTTGGGAACCACTGGCCGAACTCTTAACGGCCTTCATCTCCGCGTCAACCTTTTTCACCGCTTGAGTCATGAACGACATGCGATCCATATTGAAACCTGCAAGACAAAGGCAAAGGATTAGCAAAAGGAACATAAAACGTTACACAGATGGTAAGGTAACAAAGGTCAACCTTCGGTCTCAGCAGGGACGCCAAAGCGGGGCCCGTCGACCTGCTCATAAGAACCAACTAGCTTCGGCCATAAACCATCGTCAACATCACCTGGGCGATAATACCCCACAAAGCCGAGTGCAGCCATCTTGTACTCAATAACATAGGTCTTGATGCTTCTCGCCCCCCCCCCCCCCCCCCATCCAAGAAAGCCTTCACTTGGGCATTTATAGCGGCACTCTCCGACGGATCATGCAGGTGGAAGATGTCGTCGTGGTTCACAGAGGAGAAGAAGCCACCCCCGCCCAACGTCACAAACACAAATTTTGCTTTCCAGTCGTGGATGGACGTCGGAAGATCCTTAAACGTCCTCCTCTCACTAATCTGTTGAAGGGTTGCGTAACCCGCATAGCTCTTGTGGCTCCCTCGGCCTATCCGATACAGGTTCATAAAGAGACCTGTTGTCGGCGTAAAACCCAGCTCACCACAACGAATCAGAAAGCCAATGATCAGTGAATAACTGTTAGGAGTCAGCAAGGCCGAAGGGAGACCCACCATGTTCAGATACTCCGTTATGAAGGGATAAAGGGGGGAACCTCAAACCCTTGGCGAAGCTCATCGGATATATTCCCAAATAATCTACAGGAGGATTTAATACGTGGTCCATCGGCCTGAGAGCCCTAACCCGGCCGTAGGGACCTACGTACAGCTGGGCAACGTGATACTCACCCAGGGAACCCTCCGGCCGGATGATATACAAGTTGCTGAGATCCAATTGTGAGCAACCCGGAGGAACACCTTTTCGCTTCTTGCGCCGATATGGTTTCTTCGGGCCACCGACCGAGGAGCCCTCGCCTTGGACAGATGATAACGGAGGAGGGAAAGGGATCATGGCTGAGGAGGAGGCCTCATCCCCCCTCAACGGCGAACTAGAAATCGCCTCGTCCTCACCAGAGTTCTGAGCACCCGCATCATCACTCAGTCTCTCCTCGTCCACCGATGTACGGTAATCGGCTGTGTTCTCCATCTCAGCTTTGAAGGCTTCCACTAATTTCAAATCGATACGAGGGGATGTATCCTCCTCGTCAAACGGAGAGTACTCTTCGTCCAGGGAAGCTGTTAAGTCAATAGGGGAGGGGATGCTACGGCCGTCAGGGAATGACATAACATCTAAAAACTAGTCCTAAGGGTTGTTTTTGGATCAAAGTGATTTATCCTACAAACACTAGATCTAACCCCCTAGGAAGCAAAGTATAAGAGAAATGACAAAAACAAATGAAGAACCTAACCTTGAAGATTCGAAGAACTCGATGAACACTTGAAGATTTGAAGGAAACTTTATCTCTCTAGAAAGTTGGACAGCACTTCGTTGCTCAGCGGGAATGCAAATGGGGAAATCGCTTCGGGTTAGGGGGTACTTATAGACACCCCCTACAACGGTCACTACACGTAGCACCCAGCCATTGGCCACACCAACGGTCACCTCCCTCACAACCAATCACATGGTGTCTTTTCAAATTTCTACCTTAACCCCCTACTACGGCTCAAAAAGCCACACCATTGGGACAAGCGACTGCCACATCACCAACAAACTATCATTACTACTGCCCAAATCACCCGAGGACCATAAGGGTGGGCAACAGCCAACTCAAAAGCAAATGAACCTCGCTACGGCCTCAGGGGAACATATAGTGAGGGACCCTAACCGGCCTACACAGAAAACCGAAGCCTGCGGCCACCTATGCGGGATCGTTTGATGATAGCCTTTAGCATGCGACTTTCGTCCAAGGGTTCTCCCACAAGGTTACCTTAAACAGGATTGCCTAGGGGTTGGAGTCGCGAGTAACGCAAGGGTGCCGCTACGGCCTAGGTTACTTTCCTACTCCTTTGCACCTTGATACTCATCTTCGGCTAAAGGAGTGGGGGACTGGGGGACTATATCGGCCACAGAAGTATATACAAAAAATCAAAATATAGTACAAACGGCCACAACTGAAGAAAAGACTGAACATAATATATAGTACACGTTGCGCCCACTCACATCAAAGTAGCACGCATCGTCTTAGACACAAAAATTCTGGAGATTTCGCCATATCATAAGGAAAAGACATCGCTATGGCTGGAGGACAAACAAGATCTCTTCGGCCTCTAAAGACAACAAGGTTGCGCAACGGCCAACCTGAAAGGAACAAGCAAACATCAAAGGGCCCCTTTTGGCTG